CACAGTTTAACCTTTTTACACTAAACTACTAACACACACCAGTTAACATTTTAAAACTACAAAATTAATGATTGAGATTTTTGGCTCAAAGTGTGGAAAAAATCAAATCTTTGGAAAAAATCATGAACAATTTTGGGAAAAGTAGTTTTCGCGTAATTTGCTCTTGAAATGTATGCAATTACTAAAAAAATATTTTCTCAAAACCCGTTCCAATTTTTGCTTTTAATTTTTTCCACGGATAAAAAAAGGGACGCTAAAAAGAATGGCACAAATCTCATTTTCGTTGAACTCTTTGTATTTTCGAAAATTACAATGCTTAATGTTTGGAAACTACAAAATGGAAGATAGTGACTTGGTCTTAAACAAAATTTGTTCTCAATATCAGCTCATTAAAGACAGCCATGAACATTTCTTTGAAAAAACTGGTAGTTTTCGCGAAATTTCTGCTTGAAATTGATAAAATATATACTGAGATCTCACCAACTACAGGCCACGAGAAAAATCCTTGGAGAGCAGGAAAAGATCAATAGGATATGAAAAATAACATGTAACGAAAGTGTAACATAATGTGTATCTAGAGTCAAATGTGAGAAACGAACAAAGATGTATGAAATATATAAATACATACAAATACATTGAAATATACATCAATACATTGAAAATACAAATTGAAGAATTAAAGTAAAAGTGTAAATTAAAATAAATAAAATTAAATTGAAGAAGTAAAGTAAAAGTGCGAGAAAGCAAAAATAGAATTTATATTGGCATTTTCAATAGGAAATTATAATTAAAATTAAATTAATTATTTTTCAAATCATTCATTCAATTTTTCTCATGGCCCGTAGTTGGTGTGAAACATGTATATATTTCATTTATTTCAACCAGAAATAACGCAAAATCTATTCGTGTTTTCAAAATATTGTACATGACCTTTTTTAAAGAGCTAATTTTGTACTGCAGATTATGTTTGAAGCAAAAATCTCTATCTTCAGTTTTGTAGTTTTTAATATTTTTTGCAATTTTCGAAAAACATCGATGTTTTACCAGTGTGTTATACCTTGGGCCACTCTGTACGCAAACAATTTTTTTCAAAAAGAACCTTATAAAATATTCTTGAAAATATTATTATTATTATTATTATTATTATTATTATTATTATTATTATTATTGTACATAAATATGCTCAGTTGTGTAGCATTCCAAAAAGATGTACATCAACAATTTCACATCCAAAACACGAGAGAAAAAAACATGAAAAGTGTCCCTAGGTACAACAGTTTCCCCTATTCTACAATGTTAATTTTTGTTTGCGATTTTCGAAAACATCGTTCGAACATCGTACTACTTTTTAAACGTTTTTTGCTCTATCTAAGGAAATTACTTAAAGAAACTAGTGGTGCACGAATTGATTTTAGCATATATAACAACAATCAAAACTGCACTATTAATTGTTTGCCTTATTTGGTGGTTGAGTGCTCTTGTTGTTTCCTTTGATTAATGGCATGGGCAGATTACATCCTGAAACCAATTGAATTCCATTTAATCTACATTTATATCTCTATCTATATATCTGCAATTATGAAAGAACGTGGTTACTGTTAATTGTAGGTTACCTCTAGGAATGAAGTATACACATTCTATGCTAGAAAGTGTAGGTCTACTTCAATCTTCGTAAAGTAATAGTTGTTATAGATGATGAAAATATAGACAATTTTACTTTTCACTCGTCAAAAATATCAAAAAATCATGGAAACATCTCACACGACGAAGTCGTTCACTTGAATTACACAAATTACAATAGCATTGCAGGGAAAATAATCCGAAATTTGTTTCAAAGACTTCTCTAATACATGCTTTTTCTCTAGGTACATCTGTACCTAGGTATGTCAGTTTCGCCTACAATGTTGACATAGAGATATTTTACGCGGTAGAGAGGGAGTTTTATAATGCCGAGCGATAAAAGCAGCAAATTTCTGGGAGAAAAACTCTTATTACAGGACTTTGACGACGAAAAAGTGGATAAATCCAAGTGCTAAATTTAGAAAAAGAATCCTCTAACACGTGGCGTAACCAGAATCCAAGTTTTGTCGATCCTTGATACCGAAAAAACGATTGACGACAAGATGTCTGACCGTGTGTCTATGAACATCGCTAGCGGCTAAACAGTTCAGTCAAATTTTCCAAAATTGAAATTTCCCTATCGATCTGGCTGATGGGGTCCCGGCCCCTTGAATTTGGAACCGTTACTTTAATTCTAGAAGGTACTTTACATGAATCCTGGAACATTTGCAAAAATTTTCAAAAACTGGTTCCGTTTTTTATTAAACTTATTAAATTATTATTTTTATTAAACTTTAAAATTATTAAAATTATTTAAAAAAATATTTGGTATTGAATAGTGTGAAGAACGTTCAAGAAAATGACGCAAGTCTCATGTTCTTTTAAAACCCTGATTTTTCGAAATTTGAAAAAGTTCAAATTTTTTTCGACGCTTCCTAGAACTATAATTATGAAGAAAAACATTTATTTTTCTTAATGAAATGTGTGCATCAAAATCAAATGTAAAAATTATGTCACGTTCAATTTTTTGAAAACATTATTATATTGTGCGAAATTCTGTGTCAAAGATAGGCAATTTTAATTGTCTTTAAATCATTTTTTCTTAAAAAGGCGTGGAATTTTTTGGTAAAATTCGGTTCTTAACTAGTGTAAAGAACGATTAAGAGAATAGCTCAGGTCTCGTGTTCGTTGAAGTGGCTGATTTTTAAAAAAAATTATAAATTTTCGGTGTCTCGCTACAATTGTGAAGATACAATCTTTGTTTCTTAACGAAATGTGTTAATCAAAAACAGACCAAATGTCAAGTTGAGTTTCTTCGAAAATGTGATTACTTTTTTAGTAATTCGTCATCAAAAGTAGTCGCCCGCTCCGATTTTACTGCGCTTTGTGATCGTAAAAAGAACAGTGTGTTCAAGCATTTGGATACTTCGTAAATTAGAATTTGTATATTAATATCATATTTTTTAGTTCTTTCTTACATTACAGCTTTTGTTATAAGTTTTAAAAGTATGTTTTAGAAATTATTTAAAACCTTTTTTAAATTGCGTCCTATAGTTGCGTTAAATGTGAAAATGAATAGATGATTTCGCTTTGCATAATAAGGTGAGGGAGTGAAGAATAATGTGTGTAAAAATCGAGTAATTTTGATTAATAAAAAATATATTGAATTATATTTTTCTATCCATTTTCATTTTCTTGCTAGTGGTATCAATAGTTCTAGTTGGCAAAATGTGTATCCCATAAGAATTAGCTGTAATTGTTGCTTGCTGGAACACATTGTTGTAACGCCGCACTAATAACACATGGCGATAATGAATGCTGCCTTTCGTTCGCGTTAATATAAACTAATAATTTTATTTACGGTTAAAATACCAATCGTGCATTGTTGATGCATATATACAGACGTGAATACACTGAACTCAATGGCAGAAAGCTGTTTTCGTTTAAGCATTTGGATTAAAAACATATATGTATTTTTCACACTTTGTTTAAGAACTTTTCAAATGGCAGTTGAAGTGTAAGGCAGAATTTGTCGAATTATATTACATAGTCATTAACAATATCTCAAGAAAGTGCGTGCTGTTGTATTACCACTAGTTTCTTCATTAAAATAAATGGAAATAAAGCCTTTTTTTGCGTAAGTTTCCAATTAAAAAAATAAAATAAACTTCCTATTAAATCTCCAAGTTGAAATTTTCACTGACGTTTCGTGTCATAGATCTAGTACGTGCGCAATTTTCAGATTTTTTATCTTGTCCTCCAACAGACATTACAGTTAAGAAATGGAAAAAAAATCCTATTTTTAAAGAGGACGTAATTTTGAAGTGGTACATTACTTTCCAATGATATTTAACAAAAAGTAACTACACTGTCACGTGTAAAAGCTCAGAAAAAATTGAGCTGTGATTTTATCCCTTCTTTGTTCTCTCCGAAAATCGAACTTTTTAAGACTCGAATTCCATAGATTTGATTGCGAATATTTCCCAAATAAAACTATATATAAGGTAGATGAATAATCTTATTAAAATGTTTGCCGTCATTTCCTATTAACAAGGAAACCTATTTTGGCCATTCATGAGACGAACAGTTTCTTGGACTAACTATTGCAGCATTTATTAACATTACAACAAAGCGACGTTTCGAGGTTTTATTTCTTCTCCCTGCCTCATCTGAAGAGTTTTTTACAGCATGCACAGTATTTAATAAATGTGTTTCAAGCCTGACGAGGCAAATTGGGCCTCAAAATGTCGCTTTGTTGTAATATTAATAAATGCTGCAATAGTTTATCCAAGAAAATGTTCGTTTCATGTATGGCCGAAATAATTAACCTTGTCAAATAAATAATATTTCGAGTTGTAGGGCACAGTACACTGAATCCAACGCTTTTTACTCTGGAATGTAGAACACAGAGGTGAGTAATTTACGAAAAAGTAAATGTCAATGCGAAAAGTGGCTCATGGCCTAAAACAAAAATGACCGCCATTTGTAAACCAGGTACAAAGAACGAAAAAGGTAAATGTTTTTTAACAGACAAACATAAGGAAATTTGTGTACAAAGTATGATTTTTTTTCCAGATGGTCGAGCGATCAGTGCTGGACCACTTAAAACGGGAGGATCCGTAACAATTATTAATTCCACTAAAACAATAACTATTTTGCGCAGAACACAAGTGTGCATTCATACCTTTTTACAATAGTATGCACAATAGTATTTACAAGTATCTTATCATCAAAATGACTTTTTTCAAATAATTTCGTGTCTAGTGCACTTAATACAATCATGCATAAACGCAAGTAATATCAATATCCAAGTAGCGTTTAACGAGAGTAATAAAAAAACTGTCAAAATCATTCTTAAATACTTACATTTTGGATTAACCAATTGAATACAAAATACCCAAAAAGTCCTCTCCTATCCTATACTAAATTCTATGCTTTGATGAACTCAACTGTAGGTCTGTCATCATCCTATGGCGGCATGCAGGTAAATGATTGCGCATGGATGCACTCTTGAAACTGGTGTAATACTAAAAAAAAGGCTTCAAAAGTAATTATTTTGTAAATATTTTAAGGTTTATGGTTATAAATTATAGCGTATAGCATTCCGGACCTTCAAAGAGATCTAGTGGAAAGTTCCATCGATTTTGGTACAGTACATTCAGAGATTAGCGCACTAACTCCAAGCACTAGTCTCTTTATATATTAGTAAACATGACTAATTTCTTCATGAAGACTAATTAGTACACTATAATAGAAGACATGCTTTTTCTCAGGAGTCAAGTTTCATAAAAATTACACAATATACATAATTGACAGCTGCTTTATTGGCAATGTTGGCATAAAATTATTTAACAGTTATAAATGTCAGCATCAAGTGGATTCCAGCAATAACGTATTATTAATCTGTGATCTGACTTTGATACAAGCAGAAATGGAGTAAGGAACAAACAACTGAAAACCAGACTATTACACCAGTTTGTTGTTTCATTCCTATTCCTTTTTCTCCCTTTCTGCCAGTTATCACTCGAAATTCTCAAACAGAAATCAAATTTCAATAAAATGCATAATTGTAAGGAGAGCCTCTCAGTATACATATAATTGTATATCATGAAATTATTGAGTTTGAAGAAGAGATTTCTGTTCCATTAGGCATGTTAGTCATGTGCACATAACTCATAAATCACACAATCATTGTACAAGAAACTATAATAAAGTAGTGCCAAACAGTGAGTAGGTAGTATAATGATTAAAAGCTAGCAAGGGGTCATGATACTATTTAATCGATGATAAGATAAATTCCTATCACCAAAGGTGGAAAGGCAATAATGCAGATACACAACCTTACTGACAGCTTGTCATGGGATGACTTCACTTTTTTCAACTAAAGAAACCCCATAACCAGTCACACAGTGATTGAACAATTATGAAAATCCTCCAGAATGCATAGGCTTCAATGAAGCTATACATCAGCACAAGCATGGCCTTCAAATTTATCTTTTAACCTCTGCAAGAATTTATCAGGCCCATTTCAATATTTCTTTTGCATTGCACTGTAATGTGAAAAACAGCTTTGATGAGAGTAATTTAAAAACTACTTGCACTTACATTGATGAAAGGTTAAAATACTTTATGATAATACCAGCATGAGAAAATAGCTTTCACATTAACCTGCTTGTTTTTGGTCCAACTGTGTATTTCAATTTCTTGCAAATATGTTTACATAGATATAGTGTTCCATGTGTTCTAAAAGTATATCTATATTAAAAGTTTTATGACCAGAAAATATATAAGTAATACACACTGGAAGTTGCTCCTTTACACTCCTATTCCTTCATGAAGTTATTAATTCAATGAAGTACTTTAAAAACTATTGTTAAAATTGGTAAGGAATGTATGCTTAACTAGATACAAATATAGCTTTTTAGCTGTAAGAGTAATAGCAAGTTCCCACGGACATAAATTGCTGATTCTAATGTAAGTTAAACAAACAAGCACAGCATCTGAGCAGAAAAATACATGATACTTCTAGGTCCATAAATTCAACAAAACAAAATTACATTAGACACTTGTTTCTCAGAAACCTTCATAAAATGAAATGGAAAAAAAAAAAAAAACCCTCTAGAAAATTAATTTCCAGAAAGTACTATGAACTGTAAATTCAGTAAGTATTAATAGAATGGTGTTTAAAGTTTGCTTATAATGTATATATTTACACACACTGAAGATCTTGGAATAAACAACAGCTGCCACAATCTAGGGATGATCACATACACTCATTCTCCATTTTTCCTGTCACTTTCAATTAATTTGCTTCAATGGTTCTTTGCCAATAGCTTGCAATTACATGGAGGAAAGTATACCACCAATAGCAACATTTAGAATATTTTCTCACCAAGCTAATTGACTTTAATATTCTTGATGTTTAAATTACCGATTTTCAATCAGTTAAGACATTTCAGAATATAATTCTATGGACAAGGCTGCCAGAAAAAAAAAGCAGCCTATACATGATGTTAAGCTGCTTTCCATGAGTGGGCAGTATCACAAAATCGCTCTGATATTCTAAAACGTGTTTCTAAGATCATTAGATCTCAACAAATAGAATCAGGAAAGTTAAAAAATAACTAGAAAATATCCAACTGCAATGGAGAATACTCAGAATAGAAACATACCCCTTCATGTTATTTTAATTTCATAACAGGACCTTAATACAATTTAGAAAAGTTGAATTTTCTACAAATTAATCTCAACAGACCTTATGAAAGAAAATAATGAGCTTTCTGTCTCAAAAGCTCACATCTGTCACCCTCATACTTGTGTCCCTAAATCGTAGTTCACATTACAATAGAACAGAAGACACATTTAAGTATTACAGGGTGCATTAAGTTCCATGGTAACATTAGAAGTAAATATTACATATAATACACAGTATATACATACTACATATATGCATATGGAACACACAACTGTCAATGAGACTCTTCTAAATAAAAGCCACTGAGATTGTTCTGTACTTTTATACATAAGTATCTTTACCATTACATCATACAAGATCATTGAAATCATTTCCTCAATTCCAGAATAAAGATAACTTAATTTGACATACAAATTGATCAGCAGAAGGTGATGTAACTTGAGCTCTTACAATCAGAGTTGGCAGTTAAGTAGGTCACAGATATCCAAAATTGAGATGGAACATAAAATAGTTACACACACAATAGCATGTTGCAGTGACTTACGAAATGTAAAGAGAAGTACTAATTTGAATAATCAAGACGGATAGAAAACATTCTGGCAAATTATTGCGGAAAGTAACTACAATGACACCATTTCAGCAAATTGAAAAGGATTAATTGAAGATGTACCAAGAACAGAACTACATCTCTGAAATGAGTTAAACATTCCTTACGGTTCTACAACAGTTGGAAGAACTGAATTAAAGCTGAAGCACATGCATAATACAAAAACCTTGAAATTTCCGTATACTAAAAATATAACAGCAGGATCAAAACCTTTGTATAATTATTATTGAAACGCTACAGAAAAAATACGCTTTTTAAAAAATATACTAAGACTAGCAATGACATTTTTGAGTTTCAATTGAGCTAACAATATTATTTTTATATTATGATTCAATAATAACACTCCACTGTCACACTTTCACTTTAGGCTTCAGTTCTTCAGCAATACCACCCCATTTCAGCCTGTAAGTTCGTCCTCGCCACCGAATTTCTGGATGCCACTGAGCATGCAAAAAGAGGTATGGACTACTGCACTCACGGAAGAGCCATCCTACAACAAAGTCAAATTTATTGAAGGAAAGAGAACCATTCTGCACTATGCACAGGAGAATCCAGTCAAGCAGGAACCACACAAGTATGTGCACCAAGTAGAACACTAATGCATCCCACTTAAATAAAAATGACACTGCCCATGATGCAAAAGCCCCTAGCACCATGCACTCTGATAAAGGTTCTAATATAATAGTATGTGGCACCATAGCAGCACGCAATTTTGCCCATCGTGTTAATCGTGCTTGAAAGCTATGAATCTCACACAGTCCAGAATTTTGCCATGCAGGCTGACTACTAATAGACATGTTCCATCCTCTTTCTTTTAATGATTTTGCAATAAAATAGTCTTCAGCAAGATATCCACTGAATGTCTGCAGACCACCCACTTCATCAATAATGTTTTTACGGATGAGAGTGGACATTCCTGTATGGCAATTCACACCCAAGAATGCAGCAGACAAATAAATTCGAGCCTGTGCTGTTCCAAAATAAATTTTTTCCAATGTAGCTGCAAAACCATCTCTATCACATGTAAAAGGCATCTGGTGAACCAGACCAACTTTGTCTTTCAAATGTGACACCATGTCTTGCAGCGTGTCTTCTTTCATTCGAATACCACTATCAGATATCAAGATTAATTCATATTTAGCTGCCAAAAATCCAGGTTGCATATTATTAATTTTTGGATTCACACCTACATTTCCACCACCTGTGAATAATCGAGCATCAACATTTGGGTATTTCTCCATGAGTCTTTTGACTAGCATAATTGCAGGATCACTCTCATCTTCCACACAAAACAGAAGTTCATATGTAGGATAATCCATAGTAAAAAAGGTTTCCAGATTACTAAATAAGTTTGGATCCACACCCATTAAAGGTTTCACTATAGACACACCAGGAATAGGGATTTCACACGGTAGACTTGTCTTCTTATGAAGCTTCCACTTTCCATATAAAATTGCTATTAAGTGCACTCCCCAAGTACCACACCAAAATACGAAGAAAAATATAGCAACTCCATACACTGTATATATCACAGTTGCCATCTTCTGGGCATATAATAAAAAAGTCATTGCAAGTAATCAGCGATCCATGTTAGTAAACACACGAAATTTAAGTCCGGCTATATAATTGCACAACATAGTTTATCTCTCAACAGATTCCCAAGGAAGGATGTTGCAACCTAATAATCCTCTTCCACTCCACTGGCATGGTGTCAGAGACAAACGTATAAATTTTTCTTCACGCTTCACTCGCACAGCAATAGATCTTCCAACTGAATGCTGAACGATGTTACCGATATCCTGTAGACTCTTGAAGTTACTGGCATTAACAGAGCCGAATTCCACAACTATATCACCTTCAAGGACACCTGCATCTGCAGCTGGTGAATTTGGAGAAACAAAGTTAATTCTACCAATGGGTTCAGTATGTTCAAATGATGTGGAAACGCCAGAAGATGAAGATCCATTCACATGTTGCTCTTGGGCATGTAAAGCATGTAATGCATTTTCTATCTCTTTCATCAACTTCTTATGGTCATTCTGAAGGCAAATGATTCTGTGCCTAGCATGACGTACCTGGTACACATCGATATCCGATCTAGGGAATCCATTGTCGTCTACCAGCGGTTCATTCATACCAATATTGTTATTCTCGAGGATAGTTTTCATCTGCTTAATTTCATCTTCGATCTTATCTTTTTCGTGAATCAGAGTCATCACACTCTCACGAGAAACAACGTCATCCGTCTCCATTATGATAAAACAAGCGTGCCAACCTGAAAACAAACAAACCCATTAATTTATTCAGTACATGGGATATTCATATTTTTTTTAAACACAAACTTTTTATATCTTTATCCACATATCTACAGTGTTCCATCGAATTTTCACTATAATAAATACAATGCACTAAATTCCTCGCATACTACACTTTACCATGAACATCCACATTGGCAACACTGAAATATCCACAACTTCAATGGCGTAATATAACCTGTGTCATTCTAGTGAAAAAAACCGCGAAGATACCAACAAATACAGTTCCAAGCAAAGAACAACTGATTACTAGTGCTTGATCGTTACCACAATGGTTAAGCTAACTCCGGAAATAATTCAGCAATCCATGCAGTACATAAATCCTGTGCAAGATCGCGAATTGGACCTACGAGGTAAGTACCCTAGTTCAAATATGAAAGTGTAAAGTTATTCGAATTCAAGCATCAGTGCTTGGTACTTTGCTATTACAGTACAATTTAGACAATGTTCGAAAACTCTAATGTAGTGAAAGGCTTTCCAATAACTCTACTAATACGTACGTTTGTGTCATCCTCCACCTCCGTCATCCATCGCAGAATGTGAGCAAATGTGAGCTACGCTACTTATAGGCTACTACACGTGTATTTCTTCTTATATCTCGCTTTGTCCATGCATCTTCTAAAAAAGTGTTTTCTAAGTCTTAAATATTAAAAAATGTATAATGAAATGGTTTACACACCTTTAGTTGAGGTATTTATTTATCTGTTTATGAGGAACTATTTGTTGTGTAGATACCGACAAAACATGGCTGCCACAGCGTGTTATTTGAATGCCAAGAAATATATATCGCGATATTGACCTTCCGATTTTCTTTAAAGGAATATTATGCTAATTATAAATAGTTTGAAATGCTTGCACAACTGGTTTTATTCATAATTTATTTATCCAAAATTTCGGAAAATTTTCTGAACAAATTTGTCACTCGTACATGATACGAACGACTGTTTTTCATTAATTTCCCATCTCCCTCCACGTTAGTCGACAAATTTGTCAGCTGTAGAAAAAATATTTATTTTACCTGCACTTCGCCTTTCACGCTTAGCGTCATGTTGTCAGCTTAACGAAAAATCTTGGACTGAAATGCACGTCAAACAGCAATCTCTTTAAGTAGGAGGGAGCTAATGACTCATCCGTGGCCTTGTATTATTTCCTGAACCTTGTACAATGTTAAAGACTTGATTATTAGATTTTCTGTTATGTATTTCCTTCCATTGATACCATTATAATATTGCATATTCTTTTTATTTTAGGATACAAAATACCTGTCATTGAAAATTTAGGAGCCACACTGGTATGCATTGACTTCACTTGAAAAATCTTGCAATGTAATAATGTTTAGGATTAATTTGTTTATTTTCTAATCTTATTTATTTATTCAAGGATCAATTTGATACTATTGATTTCTCCGATAACGACATTCGCAAGTTGGATGGATTTCCTCATCTCAAGCGTCTAAAATGTTTGCTTTTGAATAACAACAGGATAGTGTAAGTTCTATTACAATTCATAAAACATGCATTTTATTTGGTAAGAGATAAATAAGATGATGGATTGTTTAACAGGCGAATAGCTGAAGGATTGGAAACTTGTCTTCCATCCCTTGAAACACTAGTTTTAACTGGAAATATGTTACAAGAACTTGCTGATTTGGATCCCTTAGCATCAGTTCCAACCCTGAGAGTTCTCAGCTTATTGCATAATCCTATAACAGCTCGTCACCATTATAGGCTCTATGCAATATATAAGCTTCCTCAACTTACTCTTTTGGACTTCCGTAAAATAAAGATGAAAGTGAGTTTTGCCATTTGAAATAGATCCTGCTATGGAAGTAATTGAAATTAGAAACTATTAATTTAGACTTAGTATTTTAGAGTAGAAGTGATTTAATTAACATGTCCAATTTTATTTTTAAGGAAAGAGAAGAAGCCAATGCATTGTTTAAAAGCAAAAAGGGCAAGGAAATACAGAAGGAAATTGCAAAAAAATCAAAAACTTTTGTACCTGGTGCAGGACTTGCCGAGTCCTCAAAACCATCTGGTAAATTTAGTATAGATTGGGGTGCCAGTGTTCATTTTCAACAGAATTATTTAGTTTGCCTATAGGACTATCATGTCTATTTATCAACATAAAAAATATTTTACTATTTATTTGCAGGACCTACAGAAGAAGAAGTTTGGAAGATTAGAGAAGCCATTTCCAAAGCTAGTTCCTTGGAGGAAGTGGAAAAATTGAACAGGTTACTTCAAGCTGGACAAATTCCAGGCCACAAACCAAGTGGAGCAGGTCCATCTAGTAGAGGTATTTATGAGTTAATTGAAAATGGTCAGTTTCCTTATTTGCCTTCACTAACTGTGATTCTATCGCAGGTCCTCCAGAGGAGGAAATGGAAGATGATGATGACGAACCATCGTCAAAACGACGCTCTATAAATGGAAAGTGAAATGCTCGCAAGCTGAAGGACTCATCTACTCTGTTAGCCATTGTGTTGGTAAAACTAAAGGACATACAAAATGAGTTTTTGGTGGATTTGTAGGTGGTCTTAAAGAGTTGAACTAATTTTGCTTAAAGAAACTCAACCATCCTATATTTTCATTTCCCCTGTGTTTTATCACAGTATAGGTAAGTAATTGAATGATAAGTGATAATGTTAATTGTCTTGTTATATATATATAATCAGTATGCTGAAAGGAACAGATGGTACACAAAAGAGAAGCGAAATATTTAGTTAAAAAATTCATGTAATTTGAAATAATTAAATACAGTTGTATTTGTAATATCTGGCCTGAAGCAATAAACTTTTTTTTTTTAAAGTATGTCTGTTATAGTTTTAATATTTCCTGACACAGTTGCTCTGTTAGTAAACCACATTTTTTAAACAACTTATTATTGTTCACAAAATACCATTTTTAACTTTGATTAGAGGGCAAATTGCATTCATAGCATTAATCATTTTCTCTGCTGACTCTGTATCTTCCATACAAATATTAGCAAAAATATGTAATTTTTGAAGACCATATGGACTCTGAAAAAATAAAAAAGAACTTACAATGCAAAAGCTTTCACTCATTAAAACAGTTTTAAAGTACCAAAATTCAGATTTTCTGTGAATCTATGAAACAGTTCATTTTTAGGGCTGCATTCTCACATCTCTGGGAATTCACAAAGGAAAGACAAGTTTGCCGGTTTCTTTTGAAACTTCTAAATATTAACCAACAGTACCAGTTTTGAAGATAGAATTCCGTAAGACTATTTCAGATCAAGAAAATTTAAAATTTCAGATCTTTCCCAAAAGTTTTTATCAAAAACCTAAGCATTTCATATTTTGCAAAGAACCCATGCATAAATATCTGAAAAAAAAAAAAAAAAAAAATATCTCCCCCCCTCCCCCCACTCCTTGCCTTAATGCCAAGGGTTGTTAAGCAAGTGCAAATGTAATGAGACATGGTAATTTTACCTAACTATTCCAATTGTGAAATTAAGACCACTACTGTTCTTATAACCATATTTGGTAAGCATTAATCAAGACCGATTGTCAAAAATAAATTACCGATTCTCATTCCTGACCATGCACACAGAATGTAACATATTGGCTCAAACTCTGGGAGGTAATATCATTGGAATGATAGTCAATCACTAGTGCATTTAAAATTTCTCAAATTCACAAGGCATATGACAATGGCGAATTTATTTGAAATATATGATGCACCTTATTACACGGGGGCTAATTTAAATGAAATGTTATATTTTCACTTTAGAACAATGCCTTTTACTATAGACATTTTATGTTATGACAAGAAAAATTACCCTTTTTTGTGTAATAAGGAATAGTTTACTTTTTCACTGATGTAATTTAATTAAATATAATTGTAATGGTACTTGCTGTATATGCTTGCAACAAATGTTCTCCACAGAATTCCTGTGTAGGCTATTCCATTTCTTTGTTTTGAAATTGTAATGTCAGCCATTGTGAGTTCAGCTGATGACTTAAGACATTGTCGAGAAGAACAGTCCAAACTAAAAGTTTGCAAGCCGAGTTCAATTGAACAAAAGGAAGAATCTTTAAACCATAAGTAACATGTCCAAAAACAGCTCGAGTTGTTCATCCAGTTTTAATCAAATTTTGTTCGTCTTTTCTGCCTCCGCCTCCTACTTCTACTATTACTTACTGTTGAGTGTCCATAACAATTACTAAACCAGTGCTTTGCAAGCCTCTTGTAGCATGAAAATTGTTCCATTGTCAGTTCAGATTTAGCTTTAAGAACCTGTGTAATAAATTCTTTATCACTTCCATAAGCAATGGATAAAAGATGTTCCATGACATGGTCAACACTCCGCCGATTCTGCAAATAGAAAACACAAGGTTCTACTGTGGTCAGAGACATACATCAATCTTTTTCTTGGAGGTTAGGACAGTTTGAAAAGAGCATTGTCCCTCACCCTCTCAACCTCCAAAAAAAAACCATTTTATAACAGTATGTCTCATTCAATATTTAGAAGAAATTTTAGTGTAATTTGAATGGAAAAAGCCAAAACAAAGTTAATTACATAGCTTCTGCTGCACAAAGAGAGTGTCCAAAGATTCAAAACTCAAACAATTGTGAAAGAAAACCAATAGCAATAATATAGTAGATAAAGTTGAGGTGCAGGAACATGTTACAATTATTACAAACGGAAGAATTGACAAAATATTGATTGGGGGGGTGGGGGTGAGAAGTGAACTACCAAGAGGTTCTGGAGTTCAAGAAAACAACAGATACTCTACCTTCTTCCCCTTAAATCACATACAGACTTTACTTTTTTTTGACAAAAATTAATCAAACTGTGTTGCATGAAAGGTAATAATGAGAGTAGGGAATTGGATGTTCTCTCCGTAATTGTTCTATGTGATGGTGTCAAAGGGTTGCAAATTAAGTTTCTTACATTTTAGGTGGAAGAGTTATTTACTATTGTATTAAGAACATTTTTATTTATAAAGCAGAAGTTTGGGCAGCTTGTTTCCACTGCGCTTTATTTTTCTTTGTAGAAATCCGTAAATGTAATGGTGACTTCTGGCTATATCAGTGCCAGTAAATATAATTCCACTTTACAGCATTATTGTGAAGATCTGGTTATAGTGACAGATTATATTTCAGTTGCATCTCTTCACAATCAATAAAGTTTCTATTGTATTTAAATGGACCAGAAGATTTGTCATCCCTCCCCCAAATTAATAAATAAAATTATTAATGTTTGGTAATAAAATTGACAGTGCTATTGCAAATCCGTGGAAAGTGAAGCAGGTGATGAAAGTGGTGTACCTCTACCCTCACTTTTCAGATGAACTTACTGCTGTTCCTTCAGAAAGGAAGGTGACCAGAACATCAGAACAGACTCACAGATGTCAAAATCTATCCCTGAGTGGATCGGCAAAGGTGGATCAGGTCCTTTGTTAGAGTACCAACAGTGGCTATATAGCTAGGTCATGTTTTATCGCTATGAGGAGAATTCTAGTGGCTGGCTGCTTTCATTGGTAATTTTCCATGGATTTATCCTTCCATCCAATCATTTACCATACGAATGCCACAGCAGTACCTAACAAACTGTTCACGGATCGTGCACAATCTTTCCTTCCTCTTTCTTGACAAATCCTCACATCTTCCTTATATACACACACACTCCCTTGTTGGAGGCTTAGAGCTTGTCCCAACTGCGAGGGTGCCCTGCTGGTGGGGAAATACCTGGTTGGGGAAAATCCCTGCGAGCCAGTGTAGGTCTCACCAGATCTCGCGATGAACTACACTCACAGGACTAATGACCTTAGCAGTTGACAGGCCCGGAATAACTAATGAATCAATATCCCTGACTGAAAAAGTAAATGCCCACTGAATGAAGACAGATCTGATCAAGTCATCCATGAAGAAAACACAGTTGTGTGAAGTATACAAGAATAGTCCATTTGTGTAAAAGAAGTCAAATTCATTTCCACATTGATTATTTTTCAAAAAATATTTGCCTGTGTTGTGTTTATGTAAGCATTGCTTTTGAGCCATTGTGGCTTTTTTGGGGGGGGGGGGGGCAATATAATTAATTTTAACTTAATTTAGGAAGAAATGGTAAGAGCTACAGGGTTGAAATTATCCATTCGGAAACAATGAACTATTGATCTGTTGTGAGCCAAGTTTTGTTTTCCATACTCTTAATATTAAGAAAACTATTCAATGTTGAAGTCTGGCTGTTTGCTAAATAATTTTTTTTGGCAAATTTGCTGCAACATACCCACTGTTTTCGAATAGACAAAATTGACTTTAGTTTCTTTGAATAGATCGGAAATATTTGTACAGTAAGATCAGTTAATTTCTTTAGCAATAACAGAACGAAATATTAAATTGCAAAGTTGTGAAAATCTTATAGTTTTACTATGCAACAATGCTGGGGGCTGCACTTATGAAGTCAGAACATCAACACATTGTATCAGAACACATTACACATTGTACGCAACATCAAAATCCAAGGTGGTTGTGTAGGGAACATAAGGCACTTGATATGGAATGACCCTTTCATATAATCCTGATTGAACTATGCAATTATGTGTAATAAATGTGGTATTAATCTTAATATTCCTGCCAGGAAAATAAAGATTGTTAAGCTCATCTTATAATTCAGAGATGAAGTTATTTACCTTTAATTTATAATGAAAAATCACTGGCCAATTTTGACATTAGCTAGATGGCACTGGCTAAAATGCAGTGATTGAGGGAACTGTTTTGTCATAAAAATTCATTGCACAGACTCAAAGCGGTTTTAAGTAAAACCTGAAAGCCAATGGCTATAGTCTCATTGCTTCAGCTAAGAAATTCTTAGCAATTAGCACCTGAGATATATAGTAAAATAATTGTACAAACAAAAATTTTAAGACAGACTGCTATTCTCACCTACATACCTTGTCTTTCACTAGCTTTAAGAACTTTTGAACCGTAGTCCAATCTCTGGTAATCACATTATCTACAATTCCTCATCACATACTTCATCTATCCTAGCCACCTTATGTCCACTAATGTGTATATTATCCAGCTAAAATTTGGTAAAAGACATTTTTAAGAAACATTGGATCTATCAAATGACAGCCATGTCATACTTAGAAGTACTTTTTTAAAGTTCGGGACTGTAGCCTTTAGCCATGTACCTACCAACAGCAAAATTATAGGTAAAATGTATCAGCTTTTAAAGGATCTTAACACATTTGTAATATATACAAGAATTTTAAAAAAAATGAACATCACACAGCTCCACTGACCTTAAATAAGGTCCTTATTTGAGATTCAAGGTGAGTAATTTCAGCAGTTGATTTATCTGCTATCTTCTTCTCGAGCTTTCTCTGCAAAACTGCAATTGGCACATTAGGACTACCAACTTCATCCTGTAAGGACCCAAAAGTACAAATAAAATTTCAACACAATGCAAACATGTATTAAATAAATTTGAATTAATACAAAGTTTATATATAATTTTCCTTCCACAACAGAAATTCATTTTCTAATCAAAAAAATTAGCAGTTGTGTTCCCAATAATAGGATATGGTCTCTTTGCAACCGAGGTTGCTAATTTTAATATATTTAATAAATATCCTTAGTAAAAACCATTCTAAAATTAATACTGAATACTTTTCTGTTGATTCACTGATACTTTTTATGCGAAGATTAGCTCTTTCCAAATTTGCTGAAGAGAAATTTCACAGATTTACAAAGAGAAACAAAATTGTATACTACATTAATATTTGGCAAGAAATATAATACAACAAAGATAATCATGTCAGGATAAAATATATATTTTCACTACATCCTCAAATATAATTAGAATTGAGAATATTATATCCACCATGTTTAATGTACAAAAAAAAGGCCACATCATAATTTTTATAGTTATGAGGTGTTTAAGATCATTCTGTATCCTTGGAATCTGCAGGCAGTAATTTTAAAAAATATTCACACCATCTAAATAAATAAAACTCAGAAGTACTCAAATTAGCAAGGCATAAATAAATGAATGGTTGCAATAGAAACCATTCAATAGCCAGTAAATACTTTTCTTAATTCAAATTAAAGAAAGGTCTTTAAACATATGCTTGATTTGGGCAATGTTAAAATAGGAATACTGAAATGATCTCTCACAGATATACAGAAGACTATATCAGAAATCTAACTAGTTCTGAAGGGCAGCAATCTATATAAAACCATTAATATAGAACTTTTGACTGAACACAGCATTAATTAGTAAGATATTAAAAAGAAATGCATTCACAGGATTTCAAAAAAAACTCAGTATGGCATAAGAATTTTCAATCTGAAACCGAATTTACAATACATCTCACAAGTATACTTTGTAAAGTAATTCTGTAATAAAAGTATTTCATCACAAGTTTGACACAACTATTTCAAACAAAATTTTTGACTGATATTTTGATCCGAATGTGGAGCCAATCTACACAGTAAATGAGTTGTTGACCAGCAAACAAACTTAATTTACTTCCCAACTAGGAGAAAGCAGAAAAGGCATATAATAAAATCAGTGAATCAAACATAAGAAAAAACACTAAAATGAAAATTAAATGGCCTCATGAGAATATGAAGTCTAATATGATTAGCACTGAAAGAAATGAAACAAGGAAATAAAATTTCAAAAAAAAAGTCTGAATGTCATGCAAACACAATACAAGGCAAATATTTATCATCTTACATTCATTATTGGCGTGGTTCATTTTCCTGTTATTAGTACTCACCCCACAGCGAATAGTACTCTTTGAAGGTTTGGGAAATTGCTTAGTTCCCATGAATTGTCCTACAGGTAATCTACCTATAGACAGAGTGCCAAATTCTTGCGGATTGCTAGTATTCGTTTCTTTTACAACAACAGAATATTGCTCTGAAAGGGTTTCTTCTTCCAGGTTCTCTGAATCAGAGTCTTCCATCCAGTTGACACTGAAAACGTCTCCTAAATATGCTTCAACTTTGGCATCCCAACAGCAAGCATAAGAATCCTGATCACGTTTGGCTGCAGTTACTGCAAAAACTAAAACAAAGTAATGTTTTTTATTAGCTAGTAGTTGATGAAACACAGAAAGTCAGAAAACACTCACTATTTAATTTGTTGCTCAGAAAGTTGTCAAACAAGGATCCTGATTCACACGCTTCAATGTATACCACCATCTGTAGAAAATATTTCATTTATATAGACATTTCACATAAATAAATACACAAACATAACACTTTCTCGCTATTGAGAACAAACCATCATATAAAAATAAAAAGTACCTTTGCATACATCTCCTTCTCAGACATTTCCATAAATGCCTTCAGCAAATCAGGAGCATACAATTCGTCAGTATCATTAGGAAAACAAATTAAATAATCAGCACCATGATCCACAAAATTAATAAAAACATGGTCATTAGGTCCACTGCATGAAAGAAATAGACCTTGTAGTATAATCCATTATTATCAGTAAAGAAAGTAGTAGTACATGGATAAGTGTAACTGCAAGTAAAACTTGATACCTTTTCAAGACACGTCCAGAACCAACCCCTTGCAAACCCTCTGCATCACCAGTGATAACTTTCAAAAAATTTGTTGAATTAACATCCTGTAACAAACACCAAATACAAAAAGGTTAATTATGAAAAGAAAAGCTCTATAACATTTTGCAAATTGCACAAAATTAAGAAAATATCTTTTAACAAAAAACAAATAATTTTCAATATGAATGATATATTGTATGTGTCATGAATTAAATACATTTCAACAAAAGACAACTCTGAAAGCTTGAATTGGAATCCTGAGCAGACTGAAGACAAGAGGGCAAAAATGTATCTAGGAAGTATATTTTGAAAGAGAGCTTGACACTCAAGGAAAAATTAACTTAAGAGAGCATGGATGAATAAAAAGATAAGAGAGCTGCTGCTAATGAGAGTAAATCTTGTCTAAAAATGAGGGCTGTAAAATGCCATGCAAAATAATGTTAATTTAAAGAGCTTTATACATTAAGCCCACTTCACATCAAGGTTTCATAAACATTTTTTTTATTTTTCGTAGTAATGAATGCACTCAGAATTGCAGCACTTCGTTATGACAAAAAGAAATGAAGCAGACATTAAAACCAAAATTAACCCAACAATTTGGCAACAGAAGAAACACAACTTCTGATATTAAAATTGTTGAAGGAAGGAGGAAACTGTAATGGAAGTAGAAAACATAAAATAAGCGGAATGAAAATTCCGGAGGTATGCACAAAGCAACGAAGACAAAATTCCAGTGAAATTATGGGGTACACTGAATAAGAGCATGTAGGAACAGCAGAGATAAACTTTTAATGAACAGTAAAGGTTGCATGTAATTATGGAAGCAAAAATTCAAGAGGCATCATTGTTCTTTAGCTATCAGATGTGGAAGAGAAATGACAGTACTACAGAGATGAAACTGAGAAAATGTTTAAGGCTGAACACTGGTGGATCCAGAAAGTATTTTAGAGGAGGGAAAGGGAGATTGCTATTGGGACACCGATAAATAATTTTGACATTTTTAAAAAAATTGTTAGCTTAAAATAAAAAAAATTACAAGAATATTCATATTGGAAATAGTTTTGTATGCGATGAGATTAATATAATATAGGATAAATTGCACTTGGTGAGTTAGGAGAGAGGGCACTGTTATGCCATTGGCAGCTTCAATTTTTGAAAATGATGAGGAATCAGTGCCCTTTCTCCTAACTCATCATGGGACAAAAAAATTTAAATTGAGCTTTGAACACTGTATGAGAAAATGAAAGAGATGGTTTAGAATGATAGGATATATCAAGAAACAAAGAGAGGAATTGTTCCATTGAGATACTGCACCTCTACATGATATGGTCCCACTTCAAAAGACAATGCAGTAGAAATGATGACTGGAATTCATGTAGTAAATGCAACAAAATTAAACTTATAGAGAAATAATTGCATAAAGGTTTTAATAATTAATAATATGTTAAAAGTAATAAATTTTTTATAAAAAGAAGTTAGTTCTTTGTAAACAACTCCACCAGTCACAATTCAACCTAGTACATGATCTCCAAGAAAATCCTGGAACTATCCTCCTTCACGAGGGAGTGAAATTCCCTGTAAACAATAAAGCTACTCTAATTCAAAGAGCTAAAGAACAGTACATACTAATACCATACATTCTACTTCTTCATATTCTATTCCCATTCAGCTACTCCAGTTCAAAGAATGGTTTGTAAGCTGTACATAGGACACCAATTACAAATTCAAATAAAATAAAAGCAGCCCCTCTACATGCCATTTTTCCTCCCAACAGATACTGTTTCTAAAATTATGTACACAAGGCCTCTACAACTTCCATTAAAACAATTTGCTCATGCAGACCACAAGTGAGGGACTTTCTTGTTTCAGGTTACGACGTACCTTTAGATACTTAAATCACTCTCAAAAACTTGTCATCATGATGTCCTGGCCTTTGTTTTTGATCCTTTGAAATTTTGAAATTCCCTTAATGCAATAATAAAAAGAATTAGCTGAAGCACAAAACAAAAAAATATTTTAACGTGAATAATCACGTTCACGCAACATCTTGATAAAATTAAAAGAAGTTGGAATTGTTACCATTAGAAAACAAATGACACTACAAAAGAAAAATTTAAACAACTTTACCTTGCCTATATAATCTCTGAACACTCCTTCATATACATTAGATCCATTCACGGCATTAATTATTGTTCCTGGGTATGGATTCCTGAAAATTGATTTTAACATTTATTACATTGATTAGAAACAATCTTCACATTTGAAAAAATATCTACAATTCCACTTACTCAGGACTATATGCTATGTCATCATACATCATTGTAATTATGTGATCTGCAGGTACACCATGTTCTCTGAGAACATGATATGCATGACATACATCAGCCTGAAACATTAATGACATTTTTTTATTATTTACTTGTAGGTAAATAATAGTATTTCATAATACTTTTATTTATATTAATAAAACCAGAAATTGTATTACAGCATGCAACATAATGGTAATGACTTCATATCTATAATAATATTATTATAATAATAATAGACACACTACATACATTGAACTACATACTATAGACCTCTCTCTTTCTCACTCCATAAATAACAAAAAGTTGAACAAGTAATCAATTCAATAAAATTAAACTATCACCTGATGTCTGTAGTTTCCATATCCATTCGAACCAGCAACTAGAACAGCCCAAATTTCCCCTTCAGGTAGTTGACTACCACTGCAACTCCAAGTAACAAATGTCATGAAAGTCCATACTGACACTAAAAATACAGAATTCGCCATAACCTAAAAACACACAAAATAAATTGTACACTTCCACAAGAGCTTTATATTTCGTCCAGGAATGAAACCAAGTTAAAACAACATTACGTTCACTGACGCACTGCAGACGGTACACTTGTTCTTCTGACAGCTCCGAGCCAACTGAGCCAACCAGCCGGCAACTCGCTCAGGTTTTAACAGTAGCTGGCACGGGGGCAGGCGCTCACTGCTGCTAGGCGACAATGGGGAACGCATCTTCCTCCTGTGCTGCGGGGCAGCGTTTTTGTGGAGATGAAGGTCGTTTTTATTCGCAGTAATCATTGCGCAACGTTGCAAAAATTTTACGATGTTAATAAGGGACTAACCCGATTTGCATTTTAATAGAAAACCCTTTACGCGTTTGATATCTCGAGATACAGGAATATTTATTTTTTATTGTAAAAAAAAAATACAGTTAAAAACTGTGTAACGTAGTATGGGAAGAAGAATAGATAGCAAGTAATCCGCATGCTATTTAGGAAAAGTAATATGGAAATCTAAGAATCAGCAAAATTTGTTCGGAAGAATCATCAACAACATTCGAAACAGTATTTATTAATGATAAAAAGCATAAATATCTACAATTCGATTTATACAACCTAAAGGATTTAAATAACTAAACAATATTTGAAGATGCCATTTCTTCAATTGCAAATAAAATTTACCCTATACACGTAGTTCAAGAGTAAAACAATATACACATAAAAACATAGGCGGGTGTAACCTAAGACAAGAGTGGAAGGCTAACAACATTCTTCCTTAACTTAAGGCTTCCTTAAACGAAGAAGTTATTGTGTCCTAATTATAAATATAATATTCAAACTTGGATATTATTTGCAAAACTTATGGAAACCCTCAAATGTCATTTTTTTAAATATTAGATTTGAGGGGGAGATTTAAAAGAGTTCCTGTACACTTCACTTGAACACTGCATTAAGTTCTACGAAGGTCAATTTCATATTCTAAGTATGAGTAATAATTTGTCGTTTGATTGTATATAGGGCTAGTGTGAATCATTTGAATCATTAAGAAAATAAAAAACAACACTTGAGAAGTTTAAGTAAAAGTACCTACACAGTTTTTCGAGTTAGCAAATTTGTTTAAAATGTCTCATTGTCACCTCAAATAATTTTCATTTTGATAAGTTGTAGGCTACAATAACTCTAAGAAACACGATTTTTACCTCCATGACAGTAGAGTGCCCAACGTATTCAATTTTACACGAAGATTAAAAATATCACAAAAAAAGTCATATCACGTCACAGTTTTTAAATATAGCGTAGCATACCGTGATTTGTTATAAATGCAAATATATGTAAATTGTAGTTGTAAGATATGTAGAATCAATACGCATACAATCTATTTTAAAATAAAATATTTGTTCAGTTCATCAAGACACTTTCATGAGATGTCAACAAAATGATAAAGTGATATTCGCCGCATGATCTATTGAATCGGTTCGATAAAATGCAAATCGTCATTTCACATAGGAAATGTGACAATCAACCCGATCACTTCTGTTATGTTTGTGGAAGGTTTATACCCAAACCTCAAAGGGGAAACATATATGAAATTATAAAACTTGCGTATTCTTTACACTTTGACTGTCGTGTTTGTGATCAGGACAAACAATGGGTTGCACACCAGTGTTGTCACCTGTACAACGAACTTTAGGTTGTGTTTGTATGTAAAACTCAAGTCATTGACATTCGCTGTGCCAATGTTGTGGATAATACAATCAAACCATTTTAATGACTCCTACTTCCTTATGATAAAGATACCTGGACTGCCCGGATCAAATTTCACACAATTCTTCTGCCATGCGACTTGTGTCACACAATGACGAATTACCAGTGCCTGCACCCCCGGAAACATGGTCAATGTTTCATGAAGTCATGTCATGAAGAAAATTGTGATGGCACCGTGTATCCCCTAGAAACAGAAGCCATCAAAAGATCCAGATTACTTACCAGAAACGTCTGACTTAGGCGTGCACTTAGTAGAGCAGAACGACCTAAATGATTTGGGACGGGCCTGAATTTGTCAGTAACATATTCTGAACTGCTAGGCTCCAGATTACAGTTAAGGAAACAACGCGCTGCCGGGACAAAATATTAAGAGTTTAGAAACAGACACGAGACCTTTGACCAATATTCTTCTCTTGGAAGTACTTTTTGTGTTTGTGCAGACATTAGGGGGTTAATGAGTGAATTGTGGGTTCTCTATAATCCAGATGAATGACTATTGTTTATAGATTCATCAAAATAGAGAAGCTTGTTTATAGATTCTTCCAAAGCAGTGAAATAATTCCCCCGATGAATAATTCAAAATCGAAGGAAAGAATTTTCTTCAGTCCGTAAGTCATAAAACTCATGTTAGATGAAATATCGGAAGAAAAATTTCGAGACACTGAGTTGGTAGCTTGGCAACCCTTTCAGAGAGTTGTGCATGCGTTTTTCGGAACAAAAAAAGAAGAACATTTATCCACTTTATCGATACCAGACCCCACAAAACGGTTTTTCTGTCGAAAAATCACCGATTTTTGCCACAGAGGTACAATAGTTTTTCTTTACTGCCAAGGTACGTAGTAAGCCGAGAAAATAATAATAATAATAATAATAATAATAATAATAATAATAATAATAATAATAAAACAAGCAATAACTGTTATGTCAAGAAGAGCTTGTTTTCAATATATTAAAATCGCTACTCATTCTTTACAAGTGTACGTGTCATACTCCGGTTTCAGATAATAAAATTCTTCCCTTTCAATTTAAATATATCACTGCTAGAGGGGCTTCCTTCTTTTTCCTCGACGTGCAGAGAAATTGCACATTGTCTCGTCTGAAAGTGACTCATTCGGTTCTTCGCCTCTATCCTTCGCGACCTTGAACGGTCACCGCTCCTGGTACAGCCCCGGGATTTTGTCCCACAGCTGGTGGCAGCGCTTCGCTCCCGACCCGCCTTTCTGATAAGCCCTGGCAATAATAAACTTAATTTCGAGTTCATTTCATTGAAATAGACGGCGTATATTGAACAGATGACTATCATTTCAGGTTTTGTTTTGGAAAGTCTTCATGAAATTCAACTGAAGTATAATTGACGACTCGGATATAACTTTATCTTCATTAAAAAATTATTAAAATTTACCGTTTTTTATATTATAATGTTTGACACAGATACTGATACGATCCACTACATGGACCTCAAACGTAGGTACTTACCATGAGTGTTTTATGCATATATTTCTCGACTTATTTTTACTTTCTCATATACGTACGTATGTACGGAGTAATATGCGTAGCATAGGGGAAATTATATAATGCTCGCGTAAAACGGCGGATTTTCCGAAAAAAAAAATGCCGGGTTCCGATTACGAAAAAGTGGATAAATCTAGTTGTTAAACTAAGAAAAAATCCTGTAATACGTTATGTAACCACATTCCCTATTTTGTGGCTCCTTGATACCGAAAAACCAATTGAGGGCAAAACGTCCGTCCGTCTGTCCGTCCGTCTGTCTGTCCGTCCGTCTGTTCGTCCGTCTGTTCGTCCTTCTGTCAGTCTCTGAACACCACTAGTGCTTAAACCATAAGAAGATTTTTTTTCCAATTTGAAGAAAACCCTGTCAATCTGGCTCCACTCGAGGCGCCGCAATTTTGAAAAACTTTCTTCAAAATTTGAGGGTATTTTACATGAAGTCCCCCGGATACTTTCAAAATTTTCTCAAAAAAGACTTCAAATTTTTATTTAAATTTATTGTACGAATAGAGTAAAATACACTTATAAAGATAAAAATACTTATATATAAACTTCCGGCATAGGTACCATTTTCACTGGTAACACAGAATTTTCGAATATTGAAAAATATTGAACTTTTTGCGGCGTCTTTCTACAACTTCAAAATTGAAGATCGATTTTTTCTTCAAATAAAATTTGTTCTCCATAGTAAGTTACTTTAAAAGGTTTTCCACATTTTTTGAAAAGTTTAGTCGTTTTTGCACTGTTTCGTAATATTGCACATATTGCACGCAATATGATCAATATTAAAAGAAAAAATAATTTTCTCGAAAACAGCCACAATTTTTTTCTTTAAACTTTTGGTAGGGATAGTGCAAAATGTATTCTAATATACTCTTAAATAATGTCATATACAGTTTCTTAAAAAATCAAACTTTCTATGAAAACTGGCTCAAAAATTCACATTTTCAGAAACGCTCAAACGCTATTTTCTCATCCATGACTTTGCAAACTTTTCGAATGGTTAGTGATTATTGCACTCGTTTATTTATGAAGTTCTTTTTTCTCTTTCAAAAATTACACAAATGTAATTTTTTGGAAGATCTCTCACACCATTAATATGTACATTTCTAGCAATTTGTAAACATTATTTTATTTGTGAGTTAATGTGCTTCAAACGATTTCTGATGAAGTTTTTTGAAAACTTAATAATTTCCTGTGAAAAAGAGCTTCAAATTTGGAATTTACAGTAGCTCTTAAACACCATTTTCTTAAAACCAGCTCGAAATTTTTTTAAAGGAAATTGCCATTTAGGACGAAGTTTTACTGTTCTTTAATATTCTTAAAATTATATTTCCGTTCTACTATTAGGAAACTGAAACATTAAGAAAATGTCAAAAAAAATGTACTTTGGACGGTTATAGATGGCTGCTAGCCAGAGTAAGTGACAAGTCCGAATTGCTAGCCGAGACCAAATGAAATAGAAAACTGATAGGGAAAGTCTATGCCGTTCTGTAGCACGAGTTGCTTTCTTGTATTGACTGCTTACGAGCTTCAGAGATAAAGTACGGTAATGTTGCGGGGGGGAAATGGCAATTTTTCGACAGAAAAACTATTGCAGGACTCTAGTAACAAAAATATGGATAATTCTTGTTCCTATAGGTAGTAACTCTACTTTTCTCTAGTTTTGTAGTCTTTGAAAAGTTCCTCTAATTTTGTAGTTGTAAGAAGACGCCGAGGAAAATCCAAATTTTTAAAATTTTCGAAAATTTAGAGTTTAAAGCGAAAACGGGACATATGCTACCTTTATAAGTGTACTTTACTCTGTTCTTACAATAAATTTAAAGAAAAAAATTGGAGCCGTTTTTGAGAAAAGTTTGATAATTTTCGGGGGGGGGGGGTCTCCATGTAAAGTACCCCCAAAGTTTAAAAAAAGTTTTTCAATGTCTCAAAGCTTTGATTCGAACCAGATGGACAGGAGTTTATTCAATTTGGATAGTATGTTTTCCTTCTTCGTATGGACTCGCATTTGATAAACTATTTATGAATTTTGTTTGAAGCTGGTATAACAATCGAAGCAATAGA